CATCTTGGTTTGTAATTAAAAAAAAAAAAACAAAACAAAACAAAAAAAACAAACAAAAACAAAAAAAACAAAAAACAAAACCATAATTACAAAAACTGAGAAATATTTTTAAAAGACCTTGGTAATTTTTATGTGTTCTGCTTTTGCTTTCTAAAGGATTTTTTTAATAGTTTACAGATATTTTTCTATTTCTTCATTGTTAAACCCCAAGTTATTCTCCATGTGTTGGACTATCCCAAAAATGTTTTCAGGTACCATTACATCATAAGAATTTGGGTCTGCTCGTATGCAGGTCAGTAATTTTAATGGATGCTGCCTGTAATTCTGTTTGTGACTGCTTGTTGGTGAGAAAATGTTTTAAAATATGCCACTTTAAAAATTAACTCCACAAAATTTTAGCCCAGAGCCTGCACCTTCCCATGTCCTGTGGCTTGTGCGTTTCTCAAATCTGTGTGACTTGGTGCCTGCACCATGTTAGTGAGGCTGGTGCAGCCCCCAGGAATGACTTCCTTTTCAGTGGTACAAAAGTGCGCTGAGCCTTCTGCTTTAGTCTGGCAAACCCAGCCCAGTCCCTTGATACTGGCGTGATGAATCTGCCCCGGGGAATTGTGCCTGTGTGACTGACAGCTGTTCTCTTCGCTCAGGGATCAGAGGAACAGGGGAACGGACGTTTTAGCTGCTCCAGGCAGGGAGGGGAAGCTGCTGCTCAGGAGTGTGGCAGCTTTTGCACTGGACTGTTGCTGCTGCCAGACCCAGTAGCAACACAGGCCAACTAAACTGCCTGCACGTCAACCAAGGGTGAACCAGGGTGGAAGCTGCAGCCCTTTTGCTGCGCCTGTGTTGCTACAGCATCACGCAGATGTCAGAGCTCACGTAGCAGCTTGTGCCTTGACCAGTTCATATTGGTACCATTTATGCCTACCAGCCCTGCTCAGACTTTTGGCCCCTTGGGCCAAATGAATGGCACAGGGCAGGTCTGTGGGCCAGATCCTGCCTTGCGCACAAGAATCCTGGTCCCCACATGCCAGGATTGGGCCCTGGGGCTCCCTGCTTTCCCCACCCAGCCCAAGGTGCTGGAATCGGGCCCCATGCCCAGGGCCATGCTGTCTATCCTGCAGGGATCCCCACGGGTCTGGAAAAGTGACAGCAGGGGAGCAGTGCCACAACTCCCTCACTGGCGAATTTTCAGACCCGTGGGGAGCCCACAGGCTGGATGACGCAACGTCAGGGGCTGGATGTGGCCCAGGGGTGGGGGGTCGAGCACCCTGGTGTGTTCCCTGAGTGTGAAACTTTCGCCTGCTTTAATTGTGATGTTAGCAGAAGACGCGGTAGCTGTTCAGTCTGGCAGCCGGCTCCTTTCTGCCTTCTACGTGACATATGGCAGCGCTTCAGCTGCCCATGAAGCCTGTAGAAATCTTTCCATTGACTTCAGCGGGCTTTTGGCTCATACCTTAAGCATGTTGTGCCTGAGTGTACAAGGTGAGGCCAGTAAGCTTCTGGTACTCGCTGCTCTTCAGGGTGACTGTAGAGGGAATCTTCCACACTTCAGTAGCTAATGTACGATAGCAGGTTCCTGTACTTGTTTTAAGGGTATCGCCTCTAATTATTAGTTGTTTTTAACCTCATAATTCATTTGAAAAATGCTCTGGATCAAAAATAGCTGAATTACACTTTGTTTTGATTTATGCAAAATGTTTCATGTAATTCATTTTTCTTGTTTGTATTATTTTCTTGACCTTTTCTCCATTGATGATTTTTAGCCAACAGAAGCTGTTCCTCCCTCTTCTCCCACTGTCCCTGTGATCCCTGTCCCGCCCGTCCCTGCTGAGACCACTGTCAGCCCATCTTCCACACAACAGGTTTTTATTCTTTTTTTCCCATTTTCTATTTAATTTATTGCAGTTCTTTTGACTAACATTTTCCATCATTGCATGCAAGTTTGGTAAACTAGCTAAATAAATAATCCATGTATAGGTTTATAGGAAGCATTGTATTTTTTTGTAACTAAACATAACATTTTTAATTGTTGTTACTTTTTATGGGGTTGTCCCTTCTAAATTATTCTTTCCTGTACAACTAAATTGTACTTACAAAAGACAGTGTAGGTTATGGATATGCATATGCTTTTGCAAGTTCTAAGTCTTAATATTTCCAGGAATCTCTGTTCCATTACTCTTCTGTTTCCACAGGTATAGTGAAGCACCAGCCATTTGCTCTGGCAAGTCTATTCCCTGTCCTTGCTGTTGATACACTTCTAGCTCATTTCATACCTGTTGTAGTAACTTTTGCAAAAAATGTTTTTTTCAGGTCAGTAGCCAGACCAAAAACATTTAAAAAAGAAAATGTTCATGTTCACATGAATAGAAATGTGTTGGGCTGCTTGGTGAAATGGGGGGAATGCATACTGCACACCTGCAAATAAGGTGACTCCTTGTTTTCAAAGGGAGCATGTAGGGGAAAAAAGATTTTTCCAGAGTCTTGTGTGTCATATCTTCCTGGAAACAGAGAGAGCTATAGTTCAGTGCGACATCCCAAGAGACAGTCTCCATGAGGCAGCAGGAGCTCCTAGCGTGGCAGGACAGCAACAAGACCAAGCCCTAGACCCTGGCAGGGGCAGTAGCAAACCTGTCATTCTTTACTGTAAATACTTTTGATGTAAGTTCTAGTAAGTAATAAAGTGTGGTTTCTATAACACAGGCTGCAACACAACACAGCAGACTGCCTGCAGCAGGTCACTTGCCGTGAGCCAGCTCAGTCTCTGCTTTGGGCGCAAGTGACAGTACTCAACCAGTAGCAACTGTGAAAGCTACCACTGACTTGCTGGGGTCAGAAAGAGCAGCAGCCATGTAGACAGCCACTGGAGGACTGCATCTCCTTGCTGCTATTCCAGCAAATAAAAACAACTTCCCTGCATAAGACACGCACCCCAGTGTCATAGGGCTGACTGGGGGGTGCGTGATATGCAGTTAAATGTAGTAGTATTACAGATTGTTTTCAGAAATTTTGTTCAACCTGGAACTAAACATCACTATTAGGTTTGAAGTTGGTTAGCCTTTTTTAAACCTTTTTCTTTCATTCAAAAAATCATCATTGAAACATTCTGTTTTTTAAATGAAAAATTGAAACATTATGTTTAGAAAATGGTGAAATGAAATATTTCACAACTGTTTACTATTCCCATTATTCTTTGGCAGATCTTAGACTACTAGAAAAGTCAGACTGGAAGCGAGTCATGTAGTTCAACCCTGGGCATGAGGCAGGATCATCTCTATCCAAGCCATCCTATCCAAATCCATAATATAAACTCTTTGTAAAACTACTGCCAACCCTAACACAGCACACGATATAACATCTGAACCTGCCACACGTAAAGCCTGGGAATCATGGCAGCCAATATCCTGCTTCTATAAAAGGTCT